CTGCTCGGGCTGCCCCCAGAATCAGGCGGTGTGATGGCCACCCAATGGCAAGTGGTGGGCATGACGGTGGAGCACGTGGAGTGCCAAGATGCTGGGGTGGGGGAGGCTCCTGGTCCCTTGGCGGGGACAGGCGAGGTGGGGGGTGAGGAGGCGGACGAGAAGCCTCCGCAGTTTGCGTGCCGGGAGTGCAAGGAGACGTTCTCCACGCTGACGTTGCAACGAAGGCACGAGCGCTCACACCCCGAGCTCCGGCCCTTTCCCTGCACCCAGTGTGGCAAGAGCTTTTCAGACCGGGCTGGGCTGCGCAAACACAGCCGCACACACAGCTCTGTGCGCCCCTACACCTGCCCCCACTGCCCCAAGGCCTTCTTGAGTGCCAGCGACCTACGGAAGCACGAACGCACCCACCCTGTGCCCATGGAGACCCCCACACCTCTCGAGCCCCTTGTGGCTTTGCTAGGGATGCCTGAGGAGGGGCCAGCCTGAGGCCCAGGGCCCTTCCCTCTGAACTCCCAGGAGTTCCGCCCCCACAGGTGCCTCCTGAACCTCCCTTTGCCCAGCTTTCTCTTCTAGACTCCGCATCCCTGCCCCCCATAGCCAGCTTACCTTCCCAACAAAGAGATCTGGGGACGTGGAGGCGGGCACCTGCTGTTCAGAGGCATGGCTCTGTGAGTAACACATTAAAGCATTCACTTTGACCCTGGGTTGTCTCCTGTGTTCTAGTTGGGGGTTCGGAAGGGAGTTTGGGCATTAGATAAGGTTCATTGCAGATTCCTAGATTGACAGATTAGAAGCTAGAAGGGTCTTTCGGTGCATTTTTTTCAAAGTATGTTTTAGAATGCCTTGTGACAAAGGGTTTCATGGTCAAGTAAGTATAGGAAATTCCCTGTGCCTTTCTTGGGGATTCTTGATCAAAAGTGTGTTAAAGTCATTCATAAGTCCCGCAATGAACAAATCTATTTAGCTTTGTTTATCCCATATTTATATAACCATGGAAACCTTTTACTGAGTAGTTCTCCTTCTATCCTTTTTACAGAGAATAAACTGAGGCCCAAAATTAGTATATTCCTTATACACTGCAGTAACAGATTGGAAGATATACTTGAAAAAAAGGGGGTCCCCTTCACAATTACAATACCCATAAACTACAAAGTAAGAAGCCTCACAGGAAACATGCAGAGCCTATATGAAGAAAATGCTCTCTCCAGAAGGATATAAGACATACCATGTACCTAAATGGGAAGACATTACAAGAAGCTGGCCCTAGCCAGTTTGGCTCAGTGGATAGAGCATCAGCCTGTGGACCGAAGGGTCCCTGGTTCAATTCTGGTCAAGGGCACATGCCTTGGTTGCAGGTTCCTTTCTGGCCCGAGCCCTGGTTGGGGCACATGCAGGAGGCAACCAATCGATGTGTTTCTCTCACATTGATATTTCTCTATGTCTTTCCCTCTCCCTTTCACTCTCTCTCTAAAAAAAAATCTATAGAAAGATATCCTTGGGTGAGGATTAAAAAAAAAAAAGATGTTGGATTCTCCCCAGCTTAATGCTTAAATTCCTTGCTATCCAAAGAGGGTTTTTAACAAAACTTGAAAATTGAAAGTTCCTATGCAATACATTTTTAAAAAACAGTGGAGGTGATGTGTTTACATACTAGATAATCAGGCACCAAAGCACTAGAGTAAAAACAGTATCGGCACAAGAATAAATTAGTGGAGGGAGGGAGAGGGTTCAGAAACAGCCCTAACTATTTCTGGAAATTTAGTTTGTGATAAAAATGATTATTCAAATTGGTGGGAAAAGATAGGCTGTTAAATAGCTTTACAGTTATATCTGTACTCTGAAAGGTTACACATCTTTTAACAATATATTTTATTGATTTTTTTTTTTTTTTTACAGAGAGGAAGTGAGAGGGATAGGGAGTTAGAAACATCGATGAGAGAAACATCGATCAGCTGCCTCCTGCACACCCCCTACTGGGGATGTGTCCGCAACCAAGGTACATGCCCTTGACCAGAATCGAACCCGAGACCCTTTAGTCTGCAGGCCGACGCTCTATCCACTGAGCCAAACTGGTTAGGGCTACACATCTTTCTAAGCAATTTTTCAAAGACCAAAATAAATAAAAATGAGGCTTCACATTTAGTGTAACTTGGTACAGCCTGTTGGGAAAATGATTTGATTATATTTATAAAAAAGTTAAATGGACAGCCAAAACCGGTTTGGCTCAGTGGATAGAGCGTTGGCCTGCAGACTGAAAGGTCCCAGGTTCGATTCCGGTCAAGGGCATGTACCTTGGTTGGGGCACATCCCCAGTGGGGAGTGTGCAGGAGGCAGCTGGTCGATGTTTCTCTCTCATCGATGTTTCTAACTCTCTATCTCTCTCCTTTCCTCTCTGTAAAAACTCAATAAAATGTATTTAAAAAAAAAAAAAAGTTAAATGGACATACCCCTTTGGCTCAGCAAGTACACCTCAAGGATTTACACTTCAAATTTCTTTTTCCACTTAAGTGGCAAAATTGAGGATAATGTTTAATACAGCAAAATTTGTGATACTAGGAACACTGTAAATGTCCATTAGCAAAGGACTAAGGCTAGCCACTGTAAAACACTGTGCAGCTGTTTAAGAAATGAGACTTATCAATCTATGTTTTTTAACAATATCAAAAAAGTATGTCAAATGAAAAAAAAGTGCAAAATAGCATGGTTAGTATGGGCGAAATTACACAGAAGTGCTCAAGTTTCTATAGGATAGTTCTAGAAGGATACTTAACTGATTTTGGACTATAAATTTCAGCCACTAAGGCTTTCCCCATTTATAAGCCAAAACAAAGCCAAAGTCAGAATGGACCAGGTCCTCTCCCATGCGTTTGTCATTTCTAGACCTGGGGCCACCAAGTTGGCAGCTTCCGGAAATGTGTGCAGTCTATCTCCAGGCCCATGTGCCAGTCACGAGGGACTTTGCAGCGGCTGGCTCTAGCCTAGGACTGGCATACCAGGTAGCGCCAGGAGTAGAAGTAGTGGGTAATCCCTTGATGTCAGGGGACAGACAGCATTGCCGTGTCCACGTTTTGGAAAAGGCCCTCATTCCTGTTCTCTCTCTCTCTCTTTTTTAAATATATTTTCATTGATTTCAGAGAGGAAGGGAGAGAGAGAGAGAAACACCAATGATGAGATAGAATCAGTGATCAGCTGCCTCCTGCACACCCTACACTGGACATGTGCCCTTGACTGGAAACAAACCTGGGACCCTTCAGTCCACAGGCTGATGCTCTTTCCACTGAGCCAAACCAGCTAAGACCTCATTCCTGTTCTTCATAGCATACGGAGGGGGCATGTGGCAACAGCAGGGCCAGGGTGTCATGACTACAGGAAGAGAGTGCTAGTTTGACCAAGGGCACGCACTGCCCACCCCATACCCAGGGCAAGACAAGCACTGACCCCAGGCCTCCTGCCTGTTCGGCTGGAGCTAAAGTCTGAAAGACGGGGTCCAAGAAAGAAACAAACTAAATGGGGTTGGAACAGAGGGACTTTGGTTACTACTGACTTGACTTGTGACCTTGAGCAAGATGATTTATCTTGGGAGTTGGGGAGGCATCTTTTAGACATTGGTACAAAGATACCACATATATTAATCAACAAGTATATTTGGGCATTTATCTACAATGAAGAAAAAAGTGGGTCTGGGCCTAGACGACCTACTGATCCCCTGGTTCCCTTCTCTGACACTCCAGGCATCCCATAACCAGGCCTGCTTCCTGAGGACTCAAACAAGCTGACTTAAAAAAAAATTAACAGCTATATTAAGATGTAATTCATATACATACAATTAACCCATCTGAAGTGTATAATTTGTTGGTCTTTAGTACTTTCACAGGATTATGCAACCATCACAATCTAATTTTAGAATATTTTTATCCTCCTAAAAGAAACTCCATGCCCATTATGATCTCCCCCCAGCCCCGCCACACACACCCAATTCCTCAGCCAGAGTCAACCACTAATCTTGTATCTGTCTCTATGGATTCATCTATTGTGGACATTTCATGTAGGGATCATGCAATATTTGGTCTTTTGTTACTGGCTTCTTTATATTCTTAGCATAATGTTCTCAAGGTTCATATTGTTTTTTCCTTTTTATTGTCAAATAATATTTCATTTCATGGATATACCACTTTTATTTATCCATTATCAGTGATTGGCAATGGGCTTCCATTTTTGTCAATTGTGAATAATACTGCTCCTGAACATTCACATACAGGTTTTGGTGTGGACGTATTTTTCAGTTCTCTGTGTATATGTCTGGGAGTGGGATTGCTGGGTCATACGGTTACTGTTTAACCATTTGAGGAACTGTCAGACTATTTTCTAAAGTGGCTGCACCATTTACATTCCCACCAACAGGATATAAATGTCCGAATTTTTCCACATCTTCAGCAACAGTGTTATCTGTCTTTTTTATTATAGCCATCCTACTGGATGTGAATTTGTGTTTTGATTTGCATTTTCCTAATGGCTAATGATGTTGAACATCTTTTCATGTATTTATTGGTTATTTTGTATCAGCTTTGGATAATGTCTATTCAAGTCCTTTGCCTATTTTTTTGGTTGTTATTGTTAATCCTCACCTGAGGATATATTTTTTCCATTGATATTTCAAAGAGTGAGAGAGTGGAAGGGAGGAAGGGAGTGGGGAGAGAGAGAGAGAAATATCAAACACATCGATTGGTTGCCTCCTGCACATGTCCCAACCAGGGGCGGGGACTGAACCCACAACCCAGGTACATGCTCTTGACGGGAATTGAACCTGTGACCCTTCAGTGCCTGGGCCAATGCTCTAACCACGGAGACACACCGGCAAGGGCCTTTGCCCATTTTTTAAATTGGGTTGTTTGACTTTTTGCTATTGAGTGCTAAGAGCTCTAGATACAAGTTCCTTACGATTTGCAAAAGTTCTCTCCCATTGTGTGGGTTGTCTTTTTACTTTCTTGATGGTGTCTTTTGAAGCGCAAAAGTTTTACATTTTGATGATGTCCAATTTATTTTTTTCTTTTGTTGCTTGTGCTTTGACGGCCATATCTAAGAAATCATTTCCTAATCCCAGTCATAAAGATTTATGCCTGTGTTTTCATCTAAGAGTTTTATAGGTGTTTATAACCCAGTTATAAACTTACAAGTTTAAAAATTATAAACTATAACTGTTTTATAGCTAAGAGTGCTTAGATTTAGGTCTTTGATCCATTTTGATTCAATTTTTGTATATGGTTTGAGGTAGGAGGTCCAACTTCATTCTTTTATATGTGGATATTCAACTATCCCAGAACTCAGTTGTTGAAAAGGCTTTTCTTTGCCCATTGACATCATTGTTGGTAATAAACTAACTGTAAATATGAGGGTTTATTTCTGAGCTCTCAATTTTATTCCCTGAATATTCCTGTATATCTTTATTTATGCCAGTACCACACTGTTTTGCTTGCTGTAGCTTTGTAGTACATTTTAAAATCAGGACCTGCAAGTCCTCCAACTTGTTCTTCTATTTCAAGATTATTTTTGTTTTTCTGGAACCCTGGCATTTCCATATGAATTTTAGGATCAGCTTATCAATATTTGCAAAAAAGAAAAGAAAAAAGAAGATAGCTGGAATTTTGATAGGGATTGCATTGAATCTATAGATCAGTTTGGAGTATTGCCATCATAATAATATTA